GACAGAGTGGACCATGCCTATTACAGAGGCATCTCCATAAAAGGGGGAAGTACCACATCCCCTAGCCCCATTTATGTGCAGCCAGCCACCTTGGACTAGCTACTGGGAACTTGGGGGCAGAGCTGAACCACCTGTTGAAGTAGCTCAAAGAGACAGGAGAGAGACATGTGGAGAAAGGCTGGCTGGCTTCTCAGCTTTGGACTTCACCAGAGGTTTGAGGGATGTGGAAGGAGACACATAGGTAAGAGACACAGAAGGCTGGCTGCAGGGCTGATACAATCTGAGAAGAACACACTAGAACCCCACACTCACATGAATGAGACAAAGACCTCTAGCCTCTTAGCGTCCCTAATGACATGGTGGGCTCCGTGGTTAAATGATGAAGGCATAGTGACAAGTGGGAGGCGAGAAAGAGCTTCCTAAAATGGTTTCAGAGTAATGGAAGGGAGAGGCTTTGTGTCATTGGCTATTGTTTGGGTTTCAAGTCGGGAATTCCTGATTACATTAGTCCTAACAAAGAGATGCTTGAGATTCAAGATTTTTATAGACTGTGCCTAAATTCTCAGACAGGAAGTTCTAAAAAATGAAGAGATGTTACTTTTTTAGTATTAGTCCTAAATTTAGGGACACTAGTAGCTCTGTGTAGGGTAAATGGTTTTTCAGGCTTTTCTGCCCTCCCACCATTAGGATTCCCCTGCCTGATGGGGCATCTGCAATTGTTATATTGTTGCAAACTGCCTTGTGATAACTTCTGTGGGCCATTGGAGGAGAACAGAGAGATAGTCACCAAGAGAAGCAGAAGCAGGAGAGAAGCAGGAGAGAGAGGCAGGAGAGAGAAGCAGAGAAAGAAGCCAGAGAAGCTCACAGTGAAGACTTGCCAGGGGCTTGGAGGCCTTCCGGCCTCCTGGTCCCCCGGCACCCCTGCCTGCCCTCTACCTGGTTGCTGCAATGCATGTAAAGCTCAATAAAAGCCTGAGAAAGCCACCGAGGGCTCCAGGACTCCTTTACCCATCTGCCGGATCAGAAAACCTGCTCAGTGGCCATCCTGCCACTAAACTATGTTTATCATAGAGCCTTGCTACGAAGAAAGATGCATAGATGGGGAGGTATTTAAGTCAACTATTGAGGTATCCAGCTGGTTCTTTTAGGACCTAATTCCTATAATGCTCTACCTTATGTCCACCCTTTATGGCAGATGTAAAATTATTGGGCTTTGTCTACTTGTGAAATCCTTTTCAACTTTTTTTAAAAAAGATTATGAATACAAGAACTGGGTACAGGCCATAGATGCAGGGGGTGAGAGGATTCACCAGACAGTGGGGAGCAGAACAGGCAGATCCACTGAAATACACTGCTGAGGGGAGCAGTGGGTGAGACAGGAGAGGTCTGCTGCAACACGTGGATACCTCCCTGGTGGGGATTTGAACTAGTGCTGCAGTGGCTGCTGATAGCTTCATAGTGCTGGGTCTTAACCCCCTGCATCATCAGGGAGGCCCCCAAATTCTTCTTAACTTTGTAGCTCACACTTTGAACAGTGTTGTAGGGTAAGCTATTTTCAGGCTTTTCTGTCCTCCTGCCATTAGGATGGCATGCCTGATGGTGGGTACATGCATTTTGTTACATTGTTGTAAGTTGTATTGTTTACTTCTGTGGGCCATGGCTGCAGTATTGATACATTCTTAGAGAAGCAGAGGTAGGAGAGAGAACAGGCGAGGAAAGGAGAACACCAGAGAGCCCATATGGAAGACTTGCTGGGGTCTTGGAGGCCTTCTGGCCCCCTGGCACTCCTGCCTGCCATATATGCTACACTACATGCAAAAGCTCAATAAAAGCTGGAGAGGGCCTCCCTGGTGGAGCAGCGGGTTGAGCACAGCGCTGTGGAGCTGTCCGCAGCCTCTGCAGAGCAGGTTCGATTCCCGGCCAGCCAGGGAGAAACCCACATGGCACAGCAGACCTCTCCTGTCTCCCCGCTGTTCCCCTCAGCAGTGCTTTTGGTCCATCAGCCTGTTCTGCACCCTGCTCTGTCTCTGATGAATTTTCTCAGACCTCCGCGCCTCTGCCTGTACCCCAGTTCTTGCATAAATAAATAAATCTTTAAAAAAAAAAAAAAAAAAGGGCCTCCCTGGTGGCGCAGCGGTTGAGCGCTGGATTGCGAAGCTGCCGGCAGCCTGTGTGGTGCCGGTTCAATCCCCGGCTGCTCCCCGGCCACCGGAGGAGGGTCCCACATGGCGCGCAGACCTCTCCTGCCGCCCGCTGCTCCCCTCAGCAGTGTACCTCGGTCCTTCTGCCTGCTCTGCTCCCCGCTCTGGCTCTGGTGAATTCTCTCACCCTCCCGTGCTTCTGACTGTACCCAGTGCTTGTATAAATAAATAAGTAAATAAATAAATCTTTTTAAAAAAAAATAAATAAAATAAAATAAAATAAAATAAAATAAAATAAAAAGCCTGAGAAAGCCACTGAGGGCTCCAGGACTCTCCTTTACCCATCTGGTCTGCTCCAATCATAGAAACCCTGCTCTCAGTCCTTCCTGCCCTGAAAAGTGTCTAACTCTTCTTTGTCTTAAAGGCATTTGTTTTGGGTTTTTTTTTGTTTGTTTGTTTAATGTTTTTGCCTCACTGAATCTTAGTGTGCTTTTTATGGCCCTCTTGCAGAAATCCCATTAGGAAAGCACTTTAATATATTACTTGGCAACCAGACATCTGACAGTGTTCTAGTTCATTAGTTAGGAAACCTCCCACACTCAGAGAAATGGACATTCCTCTGTTAATTCTCAAGCTTTGATCACTTCTGCAGGACCAGGATTAACTTTAATGCATTTTGGGGATAGCATGAGGTACTCTAAATGTGGCAAAATAAAAATAACACTGATGAAAACAACCAAACATTCTTTAAAGAGAACTTCAGTTAGTATTATTCTCTGGTGTCTCCTGAGTCCTTTGAAGACAGAGCTTATTTTAGGAAAGTGGGTGTACTTTGTGAGCAAGAGGTTGGTTAGGCAGCCACCAACCAGATCACAGATCATACTGAAATGATCCTAATGAGGAGAGACTTTTCAGAGCCATATTCATTTTACCATGAATAAATGGATTCAAGTCTTATTCGTGGGCTTTTAATTCTCAATTTTGAATTTGCAAACTATCCAATTCCTTCAAAGCTATGGTGCGCAGAGAAGGCTCTGAATAATAGGATTCCTTATTTTTAAAGTCAGATGCCCTTCAGCAAAGCACTGGGCTTTGCAATGTGATCAGTCAAGGGTCCAATGGGCATGGATTTCCCCATCTGACAGTTTCTTGTTGAGCTCCAACCAGTGTTTCTCTCTCTCCTATGAAACATGCCTCTACCCCAGGGCTCCGAGTGACTTCAAAGTAGATAATGCTGTATTGTTTCAACATAGACTATAGCAAATGAAAAACAATTTAAGTTCCTGAAGCATGACAGTACTTGGGTGCTGGTGACTTTTCTCTTAGGAGCTTCATTCTTTTAATTGAAAGACTTAAAAGAAGCAAGCTGAGAAGGTGTTTAAAAAGAAGTCTGTTGTTTAGAACCGAAAGCCCGGGCACTAAAAAGGAAGAGCTTTCCTCCAACTTCAAGAGGTAAAGGAAAAGAAGTGTGGAGCTCTGGCTAGAGAGACGATAAGCCTTGAAGAAAGTCCAGAGAGTGTCTCATGCAATGAGGAAAGAAAGATGAGTGGTGCCTGTGCTGCTTGCAAACTTGCAGGATGAGACATAGAACTCAGGCGCCAATTATGACTCACTTAACACCTTCGGAAGCAGATAGAAGACAGGAAGGGTAGAAACTATAAAATGGTTTTGTTCTGCGTGAGAGATGTTTTTTCCAAAGGGGATAGTGGGGCAGGTGGCTTAGAGACTCACGCGCTCAGAGCACCACAGCCCATGGCCACTGTGAGCTGTGGGCCTTGGGCTAGTTACTAAGTCCTTCCCCCCACACCCACCAGATTCCTCACTTCCATGCAAAAGGGGTCACCGTGGCTTCTTGTCAACCTATAGGATGGTACAGATGGGTAAGTACTTTAGGAAGTTCTCCACAATGATCAGTGACAGTGAGTGAAGTTGGAGGTGGTAATGTCTAATGTGGGCTTATTCATAGCCTGGCCAGTTACTGTGTAACTATTTTGGAAGCTACCTGAAAGGCCATCCCAGTCTTCTGATCCAGAGATTCTACTAAAATCAGGCCATTCTGGGACATTCCTTGTAACCACCTCCCTTCTCCCAGCCAGGATTCCCAATCTTCAGAGAAAAGCTATTCAAGTCAAGTCCTTTTAAAGAAAACCAAAGTTTTCAAAGCTAGTGTGGAACCACCTTCCCAAATACCATGTTATCCTCCTGTCAAATTTGCCACAACAGGAAGGAGGCTGTGTAGACAGTCCTGTTAGGGTGCTGACCGAGTCCAGCCCCCTCTCCTGAGCTGAGCGCTGGGCTGATAGAGGACTCCACTCACTCAGTGACCATCCAGGGAAAAACAGAGCCCATCCCACTTTGTGTTGTTGGAACTCACCTGTATCAACCATTTAGGGTTGCTTGACTAAGCCTAGATGATCCAGAACCAGGTACATTGTCAAATAAAAGCAAGTATTCTTTGTCAGACAGACAAAGGAAGGAAGTAGACTTGCTGGATGTGAAAGTCTCAAACAGGACTTATACTGACTGACCCTTTTCTCCTTATCCACACAGAGCTGTCCTGAGTGGATGTGATGTGTACTCAAATGACAGAACAGTACTCAACTAGAAGAGACTTGCTAAAAACTCTAGCAAGAGGGACATTCTTTGTAAATTCCAAGCTAGTGTTTCCTACCCCAAACACATGAAAAAAGTTGCTTTCTGTAGGACTGAGAGTTTCCCATCGATGAGCATCACTTTTGGCAAAAATAGACTCATGCCCTCATGCCTTACCTTGCACCGATTCACACTTCCTGCAGCCAAGTTTCTCCACTATGTGCACGTGGCCAGGTGTGTTCAGAGCAGATATAGGATGTAGTAAGATGAACATTTGTGGAGACAGCCCATCTGCAGATAAATTGACCTTTTTAATCAGTAATTTTATTGCAGTGAATCATCTAATAATTGAAAGGTGTGTGTTGTACATTCAACATTAATCTATAAGAGTGATCACATTTGCTTTCTGGGATTCATCGATCTTAATCACATAGGAAAATGTACTGAATTCCACTCCCCACACCCGGTCAAGGTCGGTACTCATTATCCTTCCCTCCAATTTGTGAGCTGCTTGAGTTGCCTGAGACAGCCAGAAGAGAAAACAAGGTGCTCGAAGTTAAGGGTCTGGCTTTGCATTTTGCATGTTTTGATTTGAAAAAGATTATGGTCTAGGTGAGGCGCAAGCCTGCAGTAAGAGATTGAGAACCTGTCATCACTATAAATGTGACCTGGGGCACCCACTTCATTTAACTCAAGCGCTATGCAAAGGAGGGATTTGAGACAGACTTCATCCTTTCACAAACTAATCTTTTTAAATGGTTTGCACTTTTTTCTGTCTCCAAAGGGATTTGTTAAATGTGATGTTCAGCGCAAGACATGCTTTTTTCAATTTGTGAGCCATAATGGAAATGCACAGATAAACAGAATCTGTGTTAATATAATAAGACAATCAGACTTTTTTTCAGGGTTAGGGAAGAGGGCAGGAGAGAAGAAACAAAAATAGAACAAGCTCTAGCAAACATGAAATAAGGTTTTTTGGGTTTGTTTTTCATTTTTATTTAAAAGACTCCGCTTTATAACTTTAGTTTTTTAATAACTTTATACAGTGAGACCATATGATCAACATTTTCAGGGAAAATGTCTCCCTCTAGGAGAACTTCTATTTATAGAAGAAAGAAAGACTCATCTAAGAGTCCTGAAGGAAACCTGAAAAGAACCCCAGGTCTGAAAGGCTCCTACAGAAGGGCCTGCCATTTGTGTATTGTTGGGGAGCCATAAACAACCTGGAGAGAGAGAGATCACAGTAGCTGGAAGGCCTGTGGTTCCAATCTATTTGCTGCCTATAGTCTTCCCTTTTGGGCCATCCAGCTGCACAGATGGGCATCCAGGCTGCCACACCAATTTGAGTTTCCTTCCTGGGCAAGTCAGTGTGTCCCGGTGGTAACATTCTGTGTTGAAACAATATCATGTTGGGAGTGAGGTCTCCTTCATGCCGACGCCAGGGGGCACACGGAGAAGGTCCAAGAGCAGTGGGCCTGGTGCTGGGGCTGCCCACCTCAGACCCTCCTTAGTGTATGGACTATAAAGTGAGGAGGGAAAGAGGAGCTCAGAACCAGTCTCTAGGGTTGGTCAAAAAGCCTTCCTGAGAGCATTGTGTTTTCTCTCATGTCCTTCAGAAGGCACCTGCACCCAAAAAGAATTAGCTGTTAATGGAGGCCTCCCTGATGGCCTAGGGGTTGTCTCAGCGCTATCACCTTGAGGCCTGAGTTCGATCCCCAGCCTCCCCCTGCAGCTCCCCTCAGCAGTGTGTTTCAGTAGATCCACCTGTTTTGCTCCCCACTCTGTCTCTGGTGAATTCTTTTTCTGCTCCCCCCTGCCCCCGTACTTCTGGCCTACACCCCAGTTCTTTTATGCAAAAAAAATTTTTTTAATTAAATTCTAATGTAAAAAATAGCAAGTTGATGAATGACTAATGAGAAAACATGTTCCAGCTGTCAGTGCAGTGTGAGAGCATACACGTATGTTCTAGACATAGTTTGTTCCTTTGTCCTTGTCCTTATATCCAAAATTTCCATTCATTTCTCTGCATGCCTCCCGCTGACCCCGGTCTGGTGTACTCCATGGCAGGGATAATTACGTATGTACTCTGTGAAAATTCAACCCTGCATGTGGCATTACCCCTCTTTGAATATTTTCTTTCCTTCTTCTTGTGGCAATTGAAAAAACAGAAATGTGCCATCTATGTGGTTTTCATTTTCTACCCCAGTCATATATAAATGAATAGAGAGTATTTCAGTCACCTCTGTTTTTCACTCTGATGTATGTTCGCGCTTCTTATCTGCACATTGCTCATTGCTTATCCAAGCCTTGGCTCCTGTTTTTCCCTGTCTCCTTGAGTACTGTGTCTACACTTCTATGCTGCAGGGAAAAGTAGATAGTAAACTGATGAGGTCAGTCCTTTGACTGGAGTTTATCTTTCCAAATGCCTACTATTTTGTTTTAAGTCCATTTCTTCTGAAGCCTCAACATTATCTCCAGACCATGAATCCCAAACTTACAGGAATTACAAACCTTGTTCTTGTTCTTCTGTTTGGTTTGCATGACAGCCTACCTCCTCTGCCTTCCTACCCATGCTCCAAGATGATGAGAGCAACATTTTTGTTATTTAATGTAAAAATTAGTGAAAATATTTTTAGTTTTAAAGGGATTTTGAGACAGTATGATATTCAGTATGATATTCAGTGGTGTATTAGAGAAGTTCTAGAGTGTTGCAAAGACGGAATCACTGCTGTCAATAAGGGATAAGGTCATTATAATTTCATTCTGTGTGTGTGTTGTGTGTGTGTGTTGTGTGTGTGTTACAAAACACAACATGAAACCTACCCTCTTAACAAATATTTAAGTGCACAGAACAGTATTAAGTACATGCATATTGTTGGAGATGATAATTAATTAAGGGACAATTCCAGTTAATAGTAGAGAAAGTTCAAACCTGTTATATTAATTTTTTATTGCTACATAATAAATTAATCTGTAACTTAGAAGCATAAAATAGCAGTGAATATTTATTCCATCATATAGTTTCTGAGGGTCAGAAATCTGGGACTGGTTTATCTAGATAATTCTGGCTTCGGGTGTCTCATGAGATTATACTTAAGATGTTTGTGGGGACAGCAGACATCTGTGGGCTTGACTGGATTACATGATCTGCTTCCTAACTGGCTCCCACTCTGGCCACTGACATGAGGACTTAGTACCTTACCCCTGGACCTCTCTCTCATGCTGCCTGTGTACCCTAACATGGCAACTCTCTTCCCCCAGAGGAAGTGAGGGAAGTAAGAAGGAAGCTGCAATTTAATGACAGAGTCTCAGAAGTTACACCTCTACCACAGTCTGGCCATTAGAAGGGAGTCACTAGACCAGTCTGCACTCAAGGAGAGCAGATTTAGGATCCCCCTAAAAAAGGGGACACCCATGCAGCAGATGGGGTAAATAGGACCTGGAGAGATACTCCACTGATGCCTAGGGACTGAGAGAAAGAGAATGTGGGTGCAAACTCCATCTCTGGTTGGCTAGGGAACTTGCATGGGATAGAGGAAGCCAAGGGACCAACTGGCCAGACAAACCAGAGAAGTGATACCAGAAAGTGCAGTGACTCTGAGTTCAGTGACTCACACTCTAGGCAGCCCTGGAGTTTGGCACTCCTGCGGGGAGGAAGTTCATTTACTAATCTGGCTTTCAGTTGCTATTGCTGAAATTGAAGAGAGCCATCAACACCTCTTCTCCACTAGAGATACTCCTCCAGCTCACGAGAAAGTGACTGAGAACTCAGACTCCACATTTCCACGGCGTGGGAGGAGAGCTGTCATCGTGGGGCTGTTTGCCTGTGGATTGTCCCCTTTGGGCATCCATCGGTATTTTCAGAACTCCATGTCTTAAGAGTGAGCCTGTCTCTTCTTAGATTCCAGGAATGACTCCTGTGTTTTCTCCAAAGTCCATTTCCCTTCTGTTTACTTCCTAAATTGTCCTCCTAACCTCCATACTCTGAGTTTATTTATCTTGATGGATGAATCATAGTCTCGGACTCATCTCTTTGGCTCCAGTTCTTGTTTCAAAGAACACGGGAAGATAGTTTTTGCTGATGCGTGTGTTTAGGGAAGATATTTTTTCTTTGTCTTTCTATCTCAAACATAGCCAGTGGGCCAGCCAGCACCTGCGATCTTACAAGCCTTCAAGCGTGGGCTGAGGTAGTACATGCGATATTCCCAGATTCCAAAGAGGCCACAGTTTCCCAAATGCAGGGCTCAAAGGAATTGGGGAAATTACTTTCCTGGAGCCAGCCTTATCTTACTTGTCCATGTTCCTCTCATGCAATTTGGAAATATTCCCACAGCTAAACTGCAAGCTGACCATCTGCGTGGCAATGTGGTCATGGTTGCTGAGCCATGGCTTCGCTAGTGCCTTCTAATCTCTCAGCTTCGTACTGTTTAAGTGGTGGCCAACGGATTAAGAACAGATAATGTTCTTAATAAAGTGCAAGGAGAAGAATTCATGTGGTTCTAGCTCCTTTTCTGCCAGCAACAAGGACTACACTAAGGGAAGTGTTTACATACTGTAAAATGAGGATTTGGACCAAATTAATCTAAGGGTCCTCCTATAAAGTTGGTTGACTAATCGGTCGTTCATGAATGTGAAAGTATTACTAGGGAAGGGCTTATTTCTCACAAGAGGAGAACCTTAACATCTCTCTTCATGCACTCTTCTTAGCTTTTCCTCTACTTGAGAAATCAGCAGGCCTTCATTCATGCTTGGAAACTTTTCTTTTGACCTTTAATATGAAGGCTTTGAACATCTTTGTATCCACTGTTACTTATGATCTGCTTTTTGCTTCTTTGAAATCCAAATATCCTATTTGGAAGGGGTGCAGTACAACATACTACACAATATACAATATACTGTTATTGTTTGTCAACACAGATGTAAAACTTTTACAGTTTTTAATAGTCCCAAACTTCAGTTTCTGCCACCTAAATTCTGACCAATAATCCCCAAATTTCAAATGTTACAAACTGACTGATAAGGCAGCATTTTGTTGTAGAGTCGGTCTTTAGCTTTTGTCTTTGGGGTCTTACCTAAATTTTTTAATGCGATTTCTACTTGCTTACAGATATTTTTAATCTATGATATGTGTTAATGTAAATGTAAAAGTACCGAATCAGCAACTCTGATCATTGTACTGGTTTAGTTGAGTAGCAAAGTCAGGAGCACAGGGGCACACATTGACCTATTTGTGCCTACGAACAATTGAGCACCAATTTTTAAGTAGCCACAGTTAATCAAAATCTCTGCAC